TATTTTATTATTATTATTATTTTAAAATAAAAATATTTTATATTATATATATTTTATTTGATTATTTAATTATTTTGGGGAAAAAACAAAAACAGGTCAAAAAATGAAGTGAATTTGGATTGATCCGGCCCGAGAGAATGTTAAGAGGGGTTAGTGGAGTTAACACTCATTTTGTAAGAGAAGAAGTGCTCGGAAAGTGCTCAAGAATAATCTCCATTTTGCATGAGAACTATTTAGAATAACACAATCAAGTAGGAGAAAAAAGGAATTTTCATATGCATAGTTGGGTAGAGGGATAAATCTCGAAAATTATTAGGAATTTTATATCTATTTCTAAATGTATGTTTAAAATTCTAATAATTTTTATGTGAATTTCGGATTGTATTACTGGTATTAATTGATGTATATTTTTGAGAATTGAGACTGTATAATGTAATTAGGTATGAAAACGATGAATTTTGACGGATTGGAATGTGAGAATATTGTTCGCTTGATGATTGATGTAGTTTTGGGATGTTCTGTTCGTGTTTTGGGTTGCAGAGAATTAAGTTCACGCCAGGCTAGGCTCACATCATAGTGATGAATGTGAAACCAAAAGGTTTGCGCTGGGTGTAGGTTATTTCACGCTGGGCATGGGTCATTTCACACTGGGCATAATTCCTTTGATGTAGTGTGTGTTTGGTTTCAATTTTGAAACTCAATTTCTTTGTCTCTCTCCACGTCCAAGTAGCAATTTACGGAGAAACTATTATTTTCTCCTTCCAGTCAAACGTGAAAAGTCACATTTTGACGCTGTTCCAAACACACAGGTAGTCTCTACCAGGCCTTAGCGTCGGGTGAGATTTCCCGATACTGGCACGGGTGAGAAATAGAGCTCTCAGGTCGAGAATGTTGGATGTGTGATGCATTGGCATGAATGAAGATGTGAAATGATTGCAAAATTTATATTTTATAAATTTTAGTTTCGAATTAGTATAACATTTGGAAGTATTTATATGTGAATTATTTTATCCATGATTTTAAATAAGATATTCTTTATTTTATTATATTATGTATTGAAATAGAATGATTGTCAGAATATATAGAATATATGTTTAATTCCCCATCATGACGAGTTTGATATTCCACATCACACATAGATGAGATTTATGGTTGCGGACCAAACATACTCTAAGAAAAAGTAAAACTGGTTCAACCCCAATTCACAACAATGACAATTTGTTCCTTCAAGAGTGGGACTCCAACCAATATCAGAATGATACTTATTTGCTACTTTTGTGTGAGACAAGCACAGATAGTATCTCTTCTCTTTTTCTCTATATAAGACAGTCTTTCAGTATATGTTAATATTTTTTATTGAAAAGACAAGATTTGTAATTGCTTTGCATCGATTCTTGTCTCTTGTATCCTTTGTGAACAGTACTAACCACCTAAATTGCATGCACCACTTGAGAGAAAGTTCTTTCCCCTTTCTCACTCTCGTTTTTTAACGGTTGCATTTAGAGGCCATGTTTTATTATTTTAAACCATATCATGGCTTTAGAATATTCACCAATTATTATTTTTTCAATAATTAATCTTTTTCAGAAAATTGAACGGATATTTTTAATAAAATTTTTCTACTCAATTATATTTATTACATTCAAAATACTTGAATCTGACTTTGTTTAAGGAAAATCGAGAGTGATGCCATCCTAATTTATAAGCACTCCTTTGTCACAAGTCAATATAACCCTCAACGACAATATATACTTTTTCTCAACAAAATTCATAAGATTTTGTTCAGAAATTGTACTTTTCCATAAACACTCTTATGCTCTACAATTGTCATACTGACATCGTTTGTAACATACCACATCATTTTGAAAGTTTCACACGGAACTGATCATTTTGTCAGATAGTTCAAACATAATTATCACTTAAGACTAAGTACTTCCCCCCAGATTGCATTATCATAGTCTAAAGCTTTGTTAATCTACCTAAGGAAGCCAAAGGTAGGTAAAGTATATATTTACTATTTATGTTTACTCACTAGGTGGTTTAAGATAATTATCATGCATCACATATTAAATATTCATTAAATGACAAATTTATACCAAATATGCAAATTGTCTTCATCTTAACGCGGGATTTTAAATACTTTCATATCAAACAATAATTTGATTAAAAAACTATTTAATAAGCAGTAATATGGTGTGATGTAACGCCAATACAGATACATATCAATGAGTATTTTTCATTATAAAGTCGGTATTATGTCCATTATATATTTACTTTAGGACATAAAAAAATTTGTACCCATTAATTGATGGCCCACAAGAGGGAAAAAAATGATGAAGAATTTATTGTTCCCCAAAGCTTCAGTTAATGAAGTTGTCGTTCAAGTCGTTTATGTGTGTGTATATATATGCCAAAGGTGTTCACGTTCCGCCATGTGGCAATGAGGTGTCTTGAAAACACTGAAGAGGATGCCGCAATTCTCTAACTGATTTGGATTTTTTTTTGTTTATTTTTCATTTCTCAATCTCAATCCAGAAAAAAAAAAAAAAAAAAGATACTTTAATTTCTAAAAGTTTATAGCTTTTCATGCAGATGGCATGAACTCCAATTCAGGCACAGAAAATAGATGAAAGCTACCATATATTAGAACTCAACGCGTGAACGATTGTTTCTTTTTAAGGTAATTGAGATTAAAGTGTGTGATTTGTTGTACACTCTAGCCACGTTTCTTTTAGCTACTTTTCTTATCTTTGGTTGCAAGGTTTCGCATTTATCACAAACATGAGATTGCATGTCCCTTTTTTTGTTTCTCTAACAAAACTTAGGTTCATTAGGATAGATACTATATTTGTGTTGTTTGTCGATCGAAATTTAAGTTTCACTTTGATAATTTACATTTACATTTAATGCATATCTAGGTAATTTGCATTTACATATATTACCAAAATGAAATTCAAACAGCACCAGCAGTAACACACATTACTGAAGTTTTATTTTCTTTTTTCTTTCCGATGTTAATGTTGGTTTAATTGAATGAGTTTGAATGCTTTCGGTTGCTGGGTTTTGTTGTTTCGCTAAGAAAAATATACACTTGCATGTTTTGAAGCAGTAATGCTATTTGGTACGAAGGGTTATCGTGAAAAGTGCAAGATATTCAAATTAATGAAAAGTTGAATTTTTAATGGGAGTACGTGTTTGTTCATGAACACTCGCAAACATGGATGATTGTATGTTTTTTTGAAAGTATATGTATATTCATGGTATGAAAGGTTGTATGTTTTCATGGAAGTATAACTGTATATTCATGGTATGGAAGGATGCATCCTTTCATGAAATATATTCCAACAAAAAGTGTAAGCAATGGGATTTTAACCATGAATATATACTCATCGGGTTAAATGGTGATCCACTGAAATATCTAATTACAATTCACCATAAATGATAAGTTTTTTGACTTTTACAATAATTAACTCAAAATCATACAAATCATGATTTCTGATTGATCGAGTGTAAAACTTTTTACAAAAATAATACATCACCATTAAACCCAAATATCTGCTCCACCTGAGTGATTCGCATTAGTTATCACAATCATATAATAGTTGATTGGATTTTCATGGAGGGAATCTCTCCAGGTTGGATTTCCATGCATTCATACTAACCAAATAATTGGCTTTTTCATGATCAGGAAATTTCATTCTACCAGACTCAATTCTACTATGTCATTGTTAATGGCCTAGTGGTGGAGTTTTCAACATTGGAAGTTAGGAACTGATTGTTGTTGTTGCTGTTGTAGTCACAAGAATGGCTCTAGCTCCAGTTCCAAAACTTGTCCTTGGTTCAGTTGCCTTTGCAGTCTTCTGGGTGTTAGCAGTTTTCCCTGCTGTGCCTTTTCTCCCCATTGGGAGAACTGCAGGTTCCCTTCTTGGTGCAATGCTCATGGTCATATTCCGAGTTCTTACCCCGGATCAAGCCTACGAAGCGATCGATCTTCCCATTCTCGGCCTTCTTTTTGGCACAATGGTTGTCAGTGTCTACCTTGAAAGAGCTGACATGTTCAAATACATTGGAAAATTACTCTCTTGGAAGAGTAAAGGAGCCAAGGACTTGCTTTGCAGAATCTGTCTCATTTCTGCTGTCTCAAGTGCACTATTCACTAATGACACTGCCTGTGTTGTTTTGACAGAGTTCATTTTGAAAATTGCAAAGCAGCATAATCTACCACCACACCCTTTGCTACTTGCACTTGCTACTAGTGCTAATATTGGTTCTGCTGCAACTCCTATTGGCAACCCCCAAAATTTGGTTATAGCTGTTCAGGGTAAAATATCATTTGGAAAGTTTCTGATTGGTGTTCTTCCAGCTATGCTTGTTGGGGTTTTGGTGAATGCTATGATTCTCATGGTAATGTATTGGAGGGTGTTGTCTATTCAGAAGGATGAAGAGGATCCAATAGCAGATCATGCAGCAGAGGAAGAGGTTAATTCCCATCAGTTTTCTCCAGCTACTATGTCTCATTTTAACTCATTCAATTCTCAAGAATGGAATGCACGTGTGGAGAGTTTTAACATTCAAAGTTCTCCTCAAGTTCATAGTCTGCGAAACCGGTCAACGGCAAGTGACGGTGAAATTGACAGGGTACTTAGTAACACATTGGATTCCAGAAGAAACTCTAATGCATCAAAGGAAGACACAAACGGTATGGCTATGCCTTCTCAGACAGTGGAGGAAACTAGTCCTTCAAAAGGTGATGCAAATGCAATAGTGCATAAACCAATAGAAGCACATGTTTTGCTCACTTCGGAAGAAAAGGACTTTGTAAGTGTAAGATGGAAATATGTACTGTGGAAATCATGTGTTTACATAATCACATTAGGAATGTTGGTTGCAATGCTTCTTGGTTTGAATATGTCATGGACAGCTATTTCAGCTGCACTAGCTTTGGTAGTTCTTGATTTCAAAGATGCTATGCCAAGCCTAGAGAAGGTAAAACCTATTAACAAACTATTGTTTAAGATTTCTTTTTCTTTCTCTTGAAACACTAGCAAGTAGCTATTGTTGTTCTGGTGCACCTTTAACTTCCAAGAGTCTCTTAGAATGATTTTTTTGTTTCCTTCTTGAAACAGGTTTCATATTCACTTTTGATATTCTTTTGTGGAATGTTCATCACAGTAGATGGCTTCAATAAAACTGGGATTCCTGGTGCTCTTTGGGATGTCATGGAGCCTTATTCTAGAGTAAATAGTGCTAGTGGAATAGCAATACTTGCTCTAGTTATACTCATCCTATCAAATGTTGCTTCAAATGTACCTACTGGTATGTTGTGATTATCCTACCAAAATATTTTCATCACCAATTTATTTTTTACTCTTTTATTTTAATTGTTTTGTTCTACATGTCATTTGATTTTTCGTAACATTGAATGCATCATGTTAGAGAAGGAATCTGATTTATAAAGTTTGCTTTCTCCATTAAATGCTCTTTATTGACAATTTCATTGCTATCCAAGAAATACAGGAACTTGCATAATTGACTTGTATGCAGAAATGATTAATGCCCTTGACTCTCTTCAATCTTCATTAAGGCTTTTAAAAGTCAAGGGATGGCTTAGACATTGTACACATAATAGCTTATGTTCTATATGATTTTCAACACAATCGGTGGAATGGAAAATCTTGAAATTAAACTACCAATTGATAGGTCACCAAACGTTCATCAGCTTGTATGGTGTTCTATTTTTAATACCGAAAATAAGCAATTTAGGATGATAGAAATTTAGGATCTTGGCCTCATCAGTTTCTAATGAACCAAGAATAAGAAAGTAATTCTCCAATTAAATAATTTCATACCCACAAAACCAACTATATCCTGAGAATAATATTTCCATATCAATTTGAGGCTTAGGCCTTTCAATATTCCAGACAAAAAAAGTTTTAATTTTACACTTTGACTTTGCTTTTAGATTCATGTATTTTTTTATTAGTGAAAAGGGGAGGAAAAAGAAAAAATAGCAATTTACAGTATAGTCCTCTTAAAATGAAGATTGCAAAGCATAAAAATACAGGCAAAGGAAACACTTTTATAATAATTTAGCAGAACATAACACTCAACCAAAGTATTATAAACAAATGCCATTTCCATACAACTTATAAATAAGTTATGGTTTTCTCTGCTTCAAAACAAACAGATAATGGAAGAAATGATCCTCAAAATTTAAGGTACTATCTTTTATATATTGAACAGGTATAATTGCAAAGAACCTTGAACTGCAGGTTTCCTGCAAAGGTGCAGCTTTGTATATTTTTTGAACTTTTAGAATCAAAACATAGAATTTCATACAAAGAAGAAATGTGTTGATATTCCTCCCAAGGTTTTAAGAAAGAAAATTTCATTGCGCATAATGGAATTGGAACCATAACTAGGTAAATATGCTCAACACAATTAATCTAGTACATAAAATATTTATGTAAACTGAAACCACTTTCATTTTTCTTGAAAATTGAAAACTTCACAAAATTGGTAAGTCCATATACATTATAGAATGAAACTTTTATCAAAACCTTTCTTAAGTTGATATACATTTAGTCTGTTTGCATATAAACTTAGAAGAGTTTTTGAAAACTTCTCTATTAAAAATAATTAGTTTTTCTTTTTTCCATAAATAAGTTTTCTAAAGTATTTCTAAACTTGTATCCAAACAGACTCATTGTTACATTGATCTGATATACATTTTACAAATTTTGTGTTTATATTTGCTAGTTCTACTGCTTGGAGGACCAGTTGCAGCCTCAGCTGCTGCAATTTCCCCAGATTATGAGAAGAAAGCATGGCTCATACTGGCTTGGGCCAGCACAGTTGCAGGAAACCTCTCACTGTTGGGATCAGCTGCTATTTATATTTGCTAGTTCTATTGCTTGGAGGACCAGTTGCAGCCTCAGCTGCTGCAATTTCCCCAGATTATGAGAAGAAAGCATGGCTCATATTGGCTTGGGCCAGCACAGTTGCAGGAAACCTCTCACTGTTGGGATCAGCTGCTAACTTGATAGTGTGTGAACAAGCTCGCCGTGCCCCTAACATTGCATACACACTAACCTTCTGGAACCATCTCAAATTTGGTCTTCCATCAACTCTTGTAATCACTGCTATTGGTTTGACACTCATAAGATGATGTAGCATTTTGTTGAACACACGTAGTCTTACACTACTAGAAAATTTACTCAAAAGAAAAAATAAGTTTAGTGCAATGTTGTTTTAGGGTACATGGGAAAATATATGTAACAGAATAATGAGTTCTCTGTTGTCTTATCATTAGAATCACTGATTATTCTGAAAGTTGGCCAAGGATGTTTTGAAATTTCAACTATGAAGGAAAAGGAACAAAAGAAAAGAAGCTAATCTAAGACCTGTTTCTTTATAGTAGAAGGGAATTTAGAGTGGACACAAGTGTTAAATTTAAGTACTTTAGGACCACATTATTCATGGGGATAGAATTTGTTTTTCATATGCCTTTAAACTATAAAAACAAAAAGAAAATTTACGGAACAAATTAAACTATTAAATTTCTTCTGACACTCTTCTAAGAAAAAAAAATAAGAAGAAAAATCTAAATAAATTTTTCCATAAGTTATAAATAAGATTTTAAATAAGTTATAGGAGAGAGTTTCTATAAATTAGTTCATGTATAGATTTATGAAGAATTTTATCTCATTTTTTCTTCTTATTTTTTTTCTTCTAAAAGTGCTTATGAAGAAATTTACTCAAACATACTTGAGAAAAATATGTTATGAGGTTGAATTTGTCAACTTTTGGGACTAAGCTTGTAAACATTTTTTTTTCAATAAAAAACTTCAATACGAGAAAATTCAAACAGCTTTATAATCTTTTTACACTAAACTCTGTTTTATTAAAAAAAAACAAAAAGCTCTGGGCTTTAAGAAAAGATCATTTGCTGAAAAAAGTTATACTTACAATATAAATATAATTTAAAAAAATGTTATATAGTTAAGTTATACTTACAATATAAATATAATTTAAAAAAATGTTATATAGTTTATATTTGGGCAGCGTTGATGGGCCTGAATCTTTTCCCTATTGGCAAACATTGAGCCTGGACCGAAGTTCTTTAGAGTCTCAAATATAAGCCCAAACAGTAAATACCAGTCAAGTTTGGTTTGGTTGGGCAAGAACTAGTTAGATTTGATCTATTTTCCATTTTATAATAACCGTCGATGGTTTCTGCTTATTTTTTTTCATGAAAAATAATTGAATTCGGTAACAATTCACACATCATGATCAACCAGATAGTCTATCTTAATAGAGTTATTAAGTTAATTACATGTAAGAAAGTACTCTACAATAATTTTGCAAATTAGCAATCACTATAAAGATTTACTAATGATACAAGTCACAAATCAAACTAATTCAATGCAGAAAGAATTCAAGATTTTACTGAAAACTTGTTATTTATTTAGCTCACAGAAAAATAAAGGTAATTTGTATGTTATCCAAAATATTTTTCAACATTATTTGTCTCATCTAAACCACACAATAGAGGTAAATATAAGCCATAAAATAAGTAATATGGCTCATAGCATTACAATCCATAAATAAAACAATTAAAATACTAGAGTGTGAAATCAAAACCAGTGTGCGATCATTACATGCATATACATCAAAAGGAAATTAATTGTTGGTCCCTAAACTAGGTTTTCGTAAATAAATATAAACTTCAAAGTACATTTAAGCTTTCACAAATTACCCCTTTGAGCCAAACTTAAATTAGAATTAATATGTTTTACAATAACTAAAGACTTTGACACACAAATACTGAAATACAAATGTCTTGATTTTTTTTTTTTTCATTTTAGCTCTATCTTTATCAAGTCTTCTTTTCTGCTTTGATTTTGCCCGTGTTTAGCTTTTGATTTGCTTTCGTTGAGGCATAGTTCATTTTTGACTTTATCTTCATCAAAATTTTGTGTGAATAATATGCCTTAAAGGTCATGTTCGACAAAGATGGTAGCTCTGTCACGTGACGATTTATTAATTTGAATAAATCTGGTTTATAGAACCAATTTTTTCTATTTCCAACTAGTCTTTTTTGTTTTCGCTATTTTTCGGTCAGTTAGCATACAACGTGGACTTGCTTACCACGAAATGTGCTGGTGCATTTGCATTTTGTTACTGTACTTGGGCTTATATAAGCCACGTTCAATTCATTAATAAAGTATTGTGTGTTGCTTCCCTCTAGCGTGTGAACACTTTTATTTATTGCATTTTACAATTAGTATCAGAGCTCCAAAAGGGGCCTGATACAGGGTGAGAGTGTGAGGAGTGGAAATATTGTGAGTATAAGAGTGCAGGCAGTGACCCAAAATTGTGAGAGAGCGATCACTACAAGCGGAGTGAAAACACTGTGAGTGTGAGAGTGGAGATAGTGAATCAAAGCTTGTTCACCATGTCGTCTGAAAAGTTTGTTCAGCTAGCCATTCTGAAATTTGATGGCCATTATGATTTTTGGTCCATGACAATGGAGAATTTCCTAAGAAGTAAGGAAATGTGGCACCTTATAGAAGAAGGTATTCCAACCTCTACACCTGGAACTGTACTGACAGAGGCTCAGCGAAAGACTATTGAAGAGGCCAAGCTCAAGGACTTGAAAGTCAAGAATTTCTTGTTCCAAGCCATTGCCAGAGAAATTCTTGAAACTATTCTTAATAAAGCAACTTCGAAGGAAATATGGAGCTCCATGCAGAGAAAGTATCAAGGGTCCACAAGGGTAAAAAGAGCACAACTTCAAGCACTAAGAAGAGAGTTTAAATTGCATACTATGAAAGAAGGGGAATCGGTTGACAACTACATAGGCAGACTTCTCCATGTAGTTACCAAAATGAAATCAAATGGTGAAGTAATGGAAGAAAGCACAATTGTCAGCAAAATACTTAGATCTTTGACATCGAAATTCTATGTTGTATGTTCAATAGAAGAGTCAAATGATTTGGATGTTTTAACTATAGATGAACTACACGGCAGTCTTTTGGTGCATGAACAACGCATGCAAGACTTCCAAATAGAAGAACAAGTTCTGAAGGTAACAAATGATAATGGACCTTCTAGGGGCAGGGGCAGTAGAGGTGCATTTAGAGGAGGCCGCAGCAAAGAAAGACGTGGGATCAGCAGTAGGTTGCCTCATGTACTTAATTGCAACTCGCCCAGACTTAATGTTTGGAGTAAGTCTGATCAGCAGGTTTATGGCAGATCTAAAAGAGTCACATTGGTCAGCAACAAAAAGGCTTCTACGATATGTGAAAGGAACCACAGAACATGGGATTTTTTATAGGACGGGAGAACAAAACACGAGCCTTATAGCCTATACTGACAGTAATTATGTAGGGGATCTGGATGACCGTAGAAGCACCTCAAGTCTAGTATTGAAGATAGGCTCTGGAGCTATCATGGGCCTCCAAGAAGCAGCCTATTATCAGCTTGTCCACCACTGAGGCAGAATATATTGCTGCAGCTTCCTGTGCTTGCCAATGTATTTGGATTAGAGGAATTCTAGATCAGCTTGGAACAAAAGAACAAGAAGCAACTAGCACAATGATACTTTGTGACAATAGCTCTACCATTCAATTGTCTAAGAATCCAGTCTTTCATGGGAAAAGCAAACACATTGCAGTAAGATTCCACTTTCTCATAGATTTAATAAGGGATGAAGTTGTGAAATTAAGTTATTGTAAATCAGAAGATCAAGTTGTAGACATTATGACAAAGCCACTAAAGCTTGACAGGTTTGAGAAGCTGTTAAGTCTCAATTTTACCTCTTTTTGGATGAGACTTATACAAGATTTAATGATCAAATTCTTCCATTCTTTGTATCATTGCATATAATTGTTCTCATTTTGGTTTCTTTTGTATATGCAGGTATTCAAGTAGAGAATTGAGGAAAAAAAGGGTTAAAGGAGTGGAAAACAAAAGAATTAAGGAGCAGAGCAGGCAACCGCGCCAGGCGCCGTATTAATCTCGCCGGGCGGGCATAAAATAGAGTACTCTCAGCCTTTGGGAACCTCGCGCCGGGCGCAATTTATAATTGCGCCGGGCGCAATTCAAGGCCGAGAGCACATTGAGCATCAGGGGAAGCCCGCGCCGGGCGCGAAGTGTAACGCGCCGGGCGCAATAACCCTAATTTGTCTCCTCGGGCTGCATAAAAGGAAAATGTCGAGGGTTTTCTCCCTCATTCGCCCAGGGGCGCCTCCAGGAGCGCTGCAGGAGGGATTCTCAGGCTTCGGAAGCCTCCCACGGTGGATCATTCCTTCGGTTCTTCCTTTCCTCTTCCATCTCTATTTTAGTTTTCCCCTCTTTGTTTTGAGAGGTTCTATCCATTGTATTGGGGTTTTGATGTAACCAACAAACTCTATTGTAATCCCTTTGTGTTTAATGTTATATATGTTTTGTTTCATTCCTTGTTGTGTATGATTCTATGCTTAATGCTTGCTTTGGCTTGATCACCCTTTGCATGATTTAAGGTTTCATTGAGTATTGGGAAATATCCTTGAAACTAGTTATGAACATATGCCTAGTGGGAATTGTACCTAGGGATAGGGCTTGACCCATTAGTAGTCTTAAAATCCTAACCGGTAATGCGGGTGGAGGTATTGAGTACTCAAGGGATTGATATTCAATATTTTGCACCTAGGCTCTTTCTCTAAGGAATTAGGTCTGAGTAAATTTATGGTTGACTGAACAATGGATGTAACAAGAGACATAGGATTCACTAGTGTTTGTTTGGTGAAATCAAACCCCCACAACTTCAAGTGTCCATTTTACCATTTCTCACCCCATTTCATTTCTAATTCATTTATTTGTGTTTTAACAATTCCAGTAGTTTTGTTCTTAAATTCATATTCATATTTATTGGGATTGTTCTCAAGTCACAAGTAGCCAATGAATGCTTAGTTTACCTTCTAATCCCTGTGGATACGATATTTTTACTACTTGTACGGCCGGTACACTTGCCGTGTTTGAGTCCGTTGAGGGAAGTAACCTAATCTATAATTATAAATAAAAGTACTTCAACGGAATTCTCAACAGAAGCTCCGAGGCATGCTTGGAGTAATGAGAGTCAATGAAATAAGCTAGCTGCATATGCATCTAGCTTAAGGGAGGGATTGTCATGTGACGATTTATTAGTTTGAGTAAATCTGGTTTATAGAACCAGTCTTTTTTGTTTCCAACTAGTCTTTTCTGTTTTCGCTATTTTTCGGTCAGTTAGCATACAACATGGACTTGCTTACCACGAAATGTGCTAGTGCATTTGCATTCTGTTACTGTACTTGGGCTTATATAAGCCACGTTCAATTCATTAATAAAATATTGTGTGTTGCTTCCCTCCAGTGTGTGAGCACTTTTATTTATTGCATTTTACAGGCTCCACCCTAACCAATTGCTTCTTTCTTTTTTACTTTAAACTCATTTTTATGTTACCCAATTCT